TTCATGTTGCCATTTTGGAATCAAAGCTGGCGGCCATCGGTTCAAAAAAACTGTCAAATATCACAATATGGGTATTTTCGGAAAAGGAACGACGTGTAGAGATCATAAATCGATGCCAGACGCCATTTAGTAATCCAAGATGGCGGCCTTAGCTTTAACGTAAACTGTTAACGGGGCCTCGCGTTAATTTTCCTGAATAAGGCTAACCAAGCATATTGTGTATAATTAGTATAATGTGTATAGCGTATCATTAAGCAAGATGGCAACGTATCGTGGAGAATTCCTCAAAACAATTAAACACTTAGTTTGTTTTGTTTTTTCTTTCGTAAACTGTAGATCTATTCAACAATGTATTTCCTCTTTCGATGACAAATAACCAACCAACGCTGTCATGTTTTATGCATACTAGTAACCCTCGTTCTTCCACTCCTTGAGAAGGGTTCCGACTTTCCTTAGCAAATCTAGTATTTTTGCACTCTGTTCGACATAACTGTCCAATGTGTAGAAGTTTTCGAACTCCAAGAGCTGATTTATTTTGAACCCGATTTCTGCCGTGGTGGGATGAAAATATAATCCATATTCATTGTAGATGGGTCCAGTTTGCTAACAATTTCATCTGCTGTAGCCAGTTCATCTCTTATGATTTCGTTGATTTCACTCTGTTTTTTATCCCCGGCGCACCAAACATGCCAAGAATTTGTTTGTGATCTGCAAATCCTCGTTGTCGTCTTCATTGCATTGCGATTTCGCGAAATACGACGGAAGACTTTTCTTCCAGCAGTTTACCAACGTGCTTTATGTCCTTTAGAACCACATCTAAGTAGTCGAAACAATTCTTGGTGCTGAACTTTTTTCGTGTATCCGCTAGTGAAAGGCCTAGGTAACCTTCTATATGGCCAGGATTTTGAGATACAGCTTATATACAAAGGTCATGTGAACACTAGCGCTGCGTAGTGAGAGAGTTCTGAACTAATATGGCGAGGATCATGAAATATTCTATGTTGGACCTAAGATCCATATATTAATGCACCCGTCATAAGTAACATAAAAGTGAAGCGCCTGTAGCGGCGTAGTTCTCAATTCAACCTGAATCCAATGACACAGGCTTGTTGGTCTATCCCAGTACAACAACTTTGTCCAAGACAGTATAGCTCTATATTTTGAAACAAATCCGGAGAACTTTGAGATTAGGGCGTAATTGGTTTTGTTAAAAAACACGACAATCGCCGATTTCTCGCAAATTAAAGCTCTATCTAAAAAATTAACGGCACAAACAGGTAAATGATTGCTCTATCATTTGGTATGGTTTGTTTGCGAAATTGAATTTCAATTTACGAGAAATCGGCGATTGACGTGTTTGTTTACAAAAGCAATTACGCCCAAATCTCAAAGTTCTCCGGAAATGAGATAATCCACCACAGCCCCTATTAGTGAAAATCCCATAAGCTGTGGGTATCCTTATTCGCGGTTCCTTATTCACGCCCCCGTTACCCCGGCAATAAGGATTCCTGACTGTTTGTTTAATTTATTTCCTTACTTCTATTTTCAAAACGTCCAACGTTATCTGGTTTTTCATTAATTTTCACCAACTATTAACATTTAATCCGCTTTACTCTCTTCTCTGGTCACTTGGCAAGTGAAGTAGTACCAGCGTTGCCAGATATACCGATTTATCGGTATTTATACCGATTTCCGAACTAAATACCGATATACAAATAAGGTTCCTCATAATACCGATTTTTGAGGTGTTATACCGATATATACCGATTTTTTAAATAACCAAATCAAAATTTTTGTGTGAGACTTGAATCTTTTCAAATATCTAAAATTGTTTGAGCCTTAAAAATCAAAAAAAAATCATCTTCAAAAATGTCTTATGGATACTCTTTCGATTAATGTTTCAATATCCCCACCGTTTTTGGCTACCCATGAATCGATAAACAGTCGATTGCTCTTTCTGGTAATTCCGGGGAAATCGGAAAAAAAAACTTTGTAAACATTATTTAACTTCCTGGATTTTCTTCCATCTTTCCCCTGGATTTTTCTATTTACGATTCCGCTCGGAAACTTATTTCGACTTCTCTTGAAAGCTTCTTCAGCCTTCATTCGAATGATTCTTCCCGGAACTTCAGGGATGCTTCTAGATTTCGATTGTGGATCCACACTAGCTGCAGGAACTTTTAAAAAAGTTCTGAAACTTCAGAAAAGTCCAGACATTTGAGTAAGCTTCGATGAATTGAAGAAATTAACTTCTGTTAAAATTCTAAAACCCCGTCCAGCGAATTCGAGTGAACTTAACGAGACATCATAAATATTTTGGATACTTCACAAGGCCAAAGAACTTCTGGAAAATTTTATGGTTTTCAGGAAAGTTCCATTAGTTTCAGGAGAATTGAGAGAACATTAGGAAGCTCCGAGAACATCAGGACAATCAGATCAGATCAATAAATTTCAAGGAAATCGCTGAAATTTTAAAGGAGTTCCGAGAAACTTAGGCAATTGCCGAAAACTTCAGCAATGTTCCGATGGGCTCATACAAATTTAAGAAACGTAAGGGAAGTTACACGAACATTAGCACATTGTGAGAACATTTTATGGGAAGTTCCGTGCTTATTGATGGCAGTGTCGATAATTTTTAAAAAATTAGAAAATCCGGGAAGATCAGAGAAATTCAATGCTGATGTTACAATAAATTCAAGAAAATTGTGAGAGTCCTTAAAAAATTTCGTAATCTTCAAGAAAGTCTAGAAACCTTCAAAGTTGATTAGAGATATTCCGGTAGTCTTATCATAATCAGGGACGTTCCAAGTATTTCAAAGATGATGAGAGTACTTCAAAAACAGCCCTAGGAAATATGGAATATTCCTAAGTACATTTCAGTAATGTTCCAAAAATTTCAGGGGCATTGCGGGGTCTTCAGGGATGTTTTAGGACTATCTGGAAAATTTTCTGGATCATTAGAACATCCCCCAAGAGCTCTTTCTTCCGGAATTATGTCCTTGTTTCTTTTGACAGTTCCGTAAGCACTCTGGCTTCTGACTTTCTCCAGATTTTTTCCAATCTACCTTAGGAAGTTTCTGCCAACGTCTCCAAGAAGTTTGGTTCGTCTTCTCCAGGAAGTTCAATTAAACTTCTTCCAGAAATTTCTGTCGTCTAGTTCTGGAATTTTGTCCAGTTGTTTTTTTTTTTTTTACTTCTTTCGGAAGGGTTTTCCGAGCTTCTCCTGGCTTCCCCTGGAAATGGCTACTTCTGGAATTAATTTCCGGTTTTCGAAACTTTTCTGCCTTCCTTTGAATGTGAAATCTGATTTTTTTCTGAGTTGCTTTAAATTTTCACCAGAAGTTTCTCAATTTATGTCTTGGAAGTTCCGCGGATGTTTTTCCGACTTCTCTCAGAACCTACCTCAAATTTCCTCCAGGAGAGCTTCTTTCTCTGGCTCTTGTTTTCAGCTTCCTCCAGAAGCTAATTCAAACATTCCCCAGAGTTTTCTTCCGGAATTTTCCGATCATAGTCCAAAAGTTAAAATTTTCGCTTTCAAAAACACAAAAAATATAAAATTAATTAAAATAGTGAATACCGATAAATACCGATTTTTTAAAACCTTTGATACCGATAAGCTTTAAAACATTCTGGCAACGCTGAGTAGTACATCCCTTTGTTAATTACTTGTCCCTTTCCTGTTGGTCTTCTCTTGTCATTTTCTTCTAATTTATCCACTGAACTATTACTTCGACTCAGTTTCCAGCAGTTGGTAGTGTACTGTGGTAGTATATTGTGTACTAAACCTAGGGGTATACACGCAGAAAACATATAGCTAACCATAGTACAAAAAAGACAAATGTTACAAACGGCAACACTTTTTAGGAACATTCAAGTTGCCAAGAAGTTCCGTGCAGAACTTTTAAAATACTTTAAAGTTGCTAAGAAGTTCCGCTGGGAACTTGTTCGGAACTTTGTTGTGGCCAGTTTTCAGGCTTGCCTGAATTTCCGAAGAAGTGCTTAGGGATACTTTTCGGAACTTTTTCTGAACTTCAAGTTGCTATTTAGGAGTACGCATCGGAACTTTTTGCAGCCTGAAGTTCCTCGTGTGCTTTCTTTAGCTTTTATAGTAGTCAGAATGTTGTGTTGGAGCTTTATATGCACTTTATGGAACTTGAAAGTGAGTTTTATTGTTGAATGCGGAATTTTTGGTTGCTTGGGAAGAAAGTTCTGTCGGATTTAGTAGAATTTTATGGAACTTGATAGTTCTGTCGGATTTTTATTTGAACGTTATGGAACTTGAAAGTTCTGTCGGAACTTTATTTGAACTTTGTGGAACATGGAAGTGAGTTTTATCGTTGAATGCGAAACTTTTGGTTACTTGGGTTGGCTTCTTTCAGTTTTCCGGAAGTTTCTTCACGCAAATTAAGACGCATCCGTTTGCTGATCAGGAACTCCAAATCAGCTGTGGTGGATGATGTTTTTACTCCTTCTGGTTTCCGTAGAACTGACAATAACCAGTATTTTCCACCTCTCCCGGGAACATCTAAAGCCCATTGTTTACGCGGTTGATATTCATATAAAACCAAAGTTGATGCAGCTGATGTCAAAAATTAGAAAAAAAAAATCAACGAAAAATATGGTACCTACAAAAATTCTAACATCACCAAAGACAGAGAAAATTTGAAAAAATATACCCGTGAAGAGAAAGCATTGGGTACCTATGTATAAGGAATACAAAAAATAACAACCCGACAAGCACGTGCTCCTCGTGGAAATGCGCGCGCTAGTGCAACGCATTCACCATTCCCAAACACCACTCGACACTAATCAACGTGCCATGACAACCGCCCCCGGATAGTTTTATCAATAAACGTTCGAAGCCATTGCGCTGTCATCAGTTCAGTCCGTGTCGGTCAGTCGCAATCGGGTTTTGAATTTCACGACAGCAGTTTGTTCCGTCCAGTCCGTTCAAATCTGTATTTTTTTTTTTTCTATTCCTCGCCAACAGCAACAACGTGAAATCAACTTATCAAACGTCCTGTGCATTTTACCGCGCTAGGAAAAAAAAATCCAGAAACGCACTCTCGCGGGATAGACAACCGGAGAACCGCGTTCGCAAATTGGTCCCAACGGTCGGATTATTTATTTATGTGATTTATCAATTTATATTTCTACTCTTGGACAACCAACGCACGGTTCCCGACTGCATTCTGGCCATTTGCCGGCTAGAATATTGTCCAATTAAGTGTGCACAATTTTTAACTGACAATTTTTTCCTCTTCTCATCTGTTAGAGTTAGTGCCTGACGTTTTAGACGTCCGCTATCGAAAGCCGGAAAGCCGCTCCGGAGTGGACAACGAAAAGCAAACAAAACACTAACGATACGGAGCAATAAAACGGGATTATAAGCAAATATCAGCTCGCAGCTAAACAATAAAAATGGTAAGTTTTTTTCGCACTAGGTACTGCTTCGATTATTGGTGGAAGTTTGTAGTGGAGTGACTTCTGCCCTGAAAGGTCGTAATAGATGTAGGGTTGGTGTAGGGCCAGGGCCATATGTGCACGGAAAGTGTGACAATGGCGTGGGACTGTTAATCCGTTGAGCTCGGAACGGTGATTTGCGATATTTTTTTTTAATTTTAACTGTCACATCTAATTTTTTGCAAACTGCTTTCTAATACCTATGGAAGTATTGCATGAACTGACGCTTATTGACTGGTCAATATATAGTAAAGGTATTTCTGAATATGAACGGAAATTAGAATAAACTTTGACTGGCATAGTTTACCGATTTTATCATTTTTCTTTGAGAGTAGTTTGAATTTTGACTAATAAAAATGTTATGATTTACCCAAGACGCTTCCGGCCTGCATTAACAATAACAATGCTCCATGGGTACACGCCTACGCTACTACGCAACAAACTAAAAAGTGAAAGCGATTGCATTCGAGGAAGGAAAAACCTTGGCATAGTTATAGTTGATACTTCAAGCTTTTCCCTACATTCTGAAGGATACTGTTATTGCAGCTGAAGGTGAAACCGACGAGGGTAGTTCGGATTGACGTTCAAGGTGTTCACATATAATAGTATGTTTATTGGGGACGAGCCTGACGTTAGGGGTTAGCATCCATGTCTCTCACACTGAAGGCCACGAGTTCAAATCCTCATCCTCGGACAAGACAACTTCTGCAGAATGGCAACGTCTGTCTAGTTTTTTTTAAACTATTATATTACAGTATTTGTTCACGGGTGTTCTCCACTGACGCATGTCACGCACCATGTCTTGCTGGCGTCTAGCAGCACACGTTTCACGTTCGAGTTGATTTTTTTTATATTTCGTAAACTCGCAAAGGCAGCCCTAGCAACAATCAATACGAAACTAACGATTTTAAATTGGCTCACTACTTGACTAGCCTATTGGTCCATAGCAAACGATTAACGTATCCCATTCTAGTCAAAATTCTAGTACTACACAATGTTTGTTTTGATTAACTATGGAAGTTTGGCAGATAAAATGAGGGGTTAGTGGATTTTCCTATGTTTCGAGGGGTGAATCGATTAGCTTGGGACCGAAGAGAGTACCAGAGCTGAGCCAAAAAGTTAAGCACGTTTCTTCGGGACCTACCAATCTTAGAGTTACCTCTATGGTAGCTCCGAACTCCAATTTTGTAAACCTACTCGTGAGCGAATTAATTTAAATTGTTTGCTTTAAATTTGTTAATTTGTGTGCTGATGTTTTGTTTCAAGTGTTCATAAAGTTATTATTTAGTGATATAGGGTTACGGTATGTAATGTGGGTCTAGTCCTTTCATTCGGCCTATCACGCAAATAAATAATTAATTAAGGAATATTACACAAAAAATAAGGAAAATATTGATCACTGATGATTGATAAATGTGTACCACACACAAATCAATTTATATCACAACATTTCAATACATTTTCAGCTCTCGTAAGTAATAAAACTGGTTGAGAATATCACTCTGTTCGGAGTTTTTAGCCGCCATGACTTCTAAGGTTAAGATGGGAAGGTTGCACTGACGATCATCAAATGGCCTGATTATGGCATTTATTGAATGGAATTACCTGATAATACACACTAGACGTAAAACTCACAGTTACTGTTTGAATATTTTATGTTTATTTTAATTGTTTAACAACGTTTTCACAAGTAAATCATGGACCCAACTTTAGGGACACATTTCTTTTCTATGTTCCTAACTTTGGCCCATGAAATTCATTTGACAGCATATAGCAATAAGAGTAACGTCAACAATGTGGTTTGCATTTGGATGATAAGGAACGAACAGGAAGGGAGATTTTTTCTGCCAAATCTGTATAATGAACATCACAATGTTTTGATTTAGATATTCTGCGGTCGAAAGACGATAAGCGAAATTTTTAATTTTTAATTTTTAACTTGAGTGATTTAATGTAGTTTTCGTAAAATTTTCTCTAAGAAATGTTTTGAGGAATGAAGAGTATTAAGTTAACAGTGATAGTGATAAAAAAAAATACATAAGAAAACGTTACCAAGAGCGTTTTTTTTGAGAATCAAACAGGATAGGACGAAGTTGCATCCATAAATAGACCCAATTTGGGGACAATAGACCGATATTACATACATTTCCCTGGTGAGTTTTTGTCTTAAAAAAAGTAAGTTTTTCAACTTTTTGCGGTTCCTGATAGCAAACGACATGATAAGCATATCTAAGCATACCATTTAGCAGTAGAATATCGTTTGCAGGTAAATTAATTGATGAGTTATGATTAAAAACGTAATCTATGGCTGCATATTAGACCGAGGTTAGGGACGTATACCCTATCGTGTTTTTCCTGTGTTTGCCTTGAGTGACTCGGTTGACCTTGAATATAACCTCCAAAATATACGACGCACCTTCAGTTCTATTGTTCGGTGTCGGTTTTCATTGCCTCCCGGGAGCCCGGTTCTCCAAGTTCGGATGCTACACTTTTGGCGTGTAGTTCTATTGTGAGATCGGTCCGGTTGGTGAATTAGCCCGGGAACGTGTGGATAATATGTCCATCGCGAGTTTTGGTGGTGATTTGGTGGCCGACGTTGCCATGAATCAGCAAGTTTTTCGCTTGCAACAGTGCTCGGCTGCTGGTCTCTCTCCGGTCTCGGAGATTGCGAGCAATATGAAGGATGCCTCGCTGGATACGCCCAGGACTGGACGGGTGGCAGTTGGTGGCCGCGAGCTGTTCCTGGGGAAAGCACTAGACGCAAGCCTCCTCCCAGATGACCATGACAATGCAAGAAAGTTTGTGTTCGTTGAAGGAATTATTACGACAAAGGTGCATCACGAAATGAGATGCAAAGCTTAGAGAAAACCAAAATTACGGAACGCATGGATTGGAGGATCAAATTAACATGGTGAGACCAGTCCAAATCCTTTTTAAAATTTAAAAACAAACTAAATAGGGGAAATGTCTCTAATGTTGGCCTATGGATCTAAGATTGGGCCCATCGCTAAAAATCTGCTATTTATCAATTTTATCTAGATGAACGCGTTGTTGGGACGTTACTAATGGATATTTTTGGTTGCTATTGAAAATTTAGTCGATTGCTGAATTTATGTATGGGCCCAAATTAGGGACACTTAGGCCGACATTACCTGTATTTCCCCTACGTGCCAGGTTTGAAAAGAATATGTTCGAACCTGGAAGCGAGTATGTAATACCAATATTCATTTGGTAACGGTGATGCATACATGCGGGGCTTATTGTAAGTGAAAGTAACCTCGGAATGGGCGTGAATCTTCAGACATTCTGAAATGGGTTGCTGGATCTGCAATAGAGCTATCACATTCTAACTCTCGGACTAAAGCTGTCTACAATGACCATAAATGCGACATTGAAGAGAGAGTGTGGGGGTTAGAGGGAATACACACTCACAGTTTTGTAAACCTACTCGTCACGATCTGGAATCAGTCATTCTCAAAAATTTTGGTCAAACGGTTATGCAAATCTAATGCTCCCAAAATCTAGAGGAGGTCTAAATCTAAATTGTCCAGTTAATCGGATGATGAACTTCGCACAGCAGCTTCCACTATTGAGCAGCTTCCTGGAGAATCCAAACACTACAATACCAGCAATTTTCAACGACGTAACTATACTGAAGGAGGAACTGTCTCACTTACCGGCTCAATTGAGCAACACCCCATCCTCCCAAGGATTATATCTTCACTTTCTGACGCTGAAACCGGATCCTGGATTTGTATCGGCTGTACAACGCGACTGGAAAACTGTTTTCAAATATCTCCACAACAAAATTTTAACATCATCGCAGTGCTCAAATTAGTTTGTGGTAATGCACAAAAAGATAAGGCATTAAGAGTTGCTGTTTCAACGAGGTGTAGTAGATAACCCCCATGATTCACGTCCGGGAGAGCTAGAAACCACGATACACAAGCTGTTCCGTTGCCAATATGTCAGAGATATCTGGAAGTTCCTACGAAGAAAACTATTGCATCACGATTCTAGCTCAGCCAGATTAGAACCGGAAGAATGTATTGATCCATACTTCCGAAACAGTAATGAAACAACTAAAAACTGTAGAATTAGTTATTAGCATAGATGTAACTCTAAGACCAGAAGGTTCCGAACAAACGTGCTCAACTGTTTGGCTCAGCTCTGGTCCCCCAAGCTAATCGATGCACCCCTCGAAACATAGGAAAATACACGAACCACTCATTTTATCTGTCAAACTTTCATAGCGAATCAAAACAAACATAATGTAGTACTAGAATTTCGACTAGAATGGGGTGCGTTAATCGATTTGCTTAGGACTAGTCAAGTACTGAGCCGATTAAAAATCGTTAGTTTCCACCGGTTGATCAGATTCCGTAGGTGTGTTGTTATTCAAGAGAAATCGTTGAACGTTTCGAAGCCATTGTTTATGAATTAACCACTTCATTCGAGCAGATAAAATGACGTTTACTACCACTCGAACTTTGAAATGAAACATTATTTTGAGATTTTTTCTTCTAGAACCTTTTGTGCGTTTCATAAAAACATAGAAATCAGTTGGTCCAGTTTTGTGAAATCGCTGGTAGAAAGTCACGCCAAAACTGCTTGACAAAGTGGTCAATTGATTGATTACACGCTTAAATAATAAGGTCATGAATTTTTTTAGTCACCTTTCTCCCCGTGAGAGGGTATTACCAACAATCAATGCGAAACTAATGATTTTAAATTGGCTCACTACTTGACTAACCTATTGGTCCCAAGCAAACGTACCCCATTCTAGTTGAAATTCTAGTACTACACAATGTTTGTTTTGATTCACTATGAAATTTGACAGATAAAATGAGGGTGATCGCGCACGGGCGGGATCCCTACGTTGTGTTGATTTTCGTGATAATTACGAAGACGGATAGAATTAAAACGCACCGATTGCTTCGCCGTTCTGCCATGGCGGAGGC